TTGGGGGGGGGGGGAGGCTGGACTACCGGAGACCGCTTGTTTAGAGTGTTGCGGGACGGTGCATGGAAGATTGACTTGGCTGGCACACAAACTAGCGAGTCATGCTACGACCCAGTGGCGATACGTATGAACAAGATATTATGCACTAGAGAATGTAGGGCGGGGATGGTCTTGGTGGGTGAGGGATCCCCGTCTACATCGGCGTTNTTGAGCCACCTTTGGCAAAGTAGGAAGGAACGATTGGCCATCGGTGATCGGTCCTGTGGGAACAATGCTCCGTCCTCTCGAGGACGCGTGGTCAATGGTCTAACCGCTAAGACATGCAAAACATAAGAGTACGCCCCCCCCCGCCCCCCCCCAGCCAATGAGGATTCTTAGGTGCTGTAGACCCTCTTCCTTTCTGCATTCGGGCGCTTCGCAGACAAAGATAGCACACGAAGAGGACAGAAGGCCTTCTGCATCAATTTAGGCTTCGAATATAGCCTGCATTGCTGTGATGACGTCCATCCCTCCTCACCCTGTGACGTGGTTGAACCAGTAGTTTCGGGCATTGTCCTGGTCGTATCCCAGCTTCCAAGCCTGCCAACGCAACGTTGATGAAAGTGTGGGAAGGTTTACTTAGGGCAGGGCAGGTGTCAAGGTCATGATATAGGACATGTCCATTCTGACCATGCTTAGGTTCTCCACTTCCTCTAAGCGGGATCGAGATAAAACACCACGCACCGGCGTGATTGCAACTTGCCACCATAAATCAGTTCGTTCGGGCTTCAGCGTGAGGCCACCATGATTTAACCAAGACGTATCCAAGGCGTCACGGAGATATGTTGAGGTGTAATGCGCTGATGATGGTTCAGTCTTGCCCCGCAGTTGTTGGCAGACGAAAAAAATGCACTAGCAGCTACCAGGGGCCCAAGGTTCACGGCAATACTCCGAGTGAGAAATGCCATAGGAAATACAGAGAGAAGAGATGAGTATCGAAGAATTAAATTGTCGTAATTTGTTGCTGTCGTAGAGACATCCCATGTTTCTGATCTTGCTGCTAGCTAACCTTCAGCAGGTAGTCGGCAGCCTCGTCCGCTTTCCGCTTTTTCTCAGCCTCTTCCAGCAGAAGCTTCACCTGAAATATATATAAGAAGCTGAGCTGAAATTGTACCCGGTTACCCTCTGCCGAGCCCGGGAAATAGGGAGAGAGAGAGAGGAAGAGAGAGAGAGAGAGAGAGAGAGAGAGAGAGAGAGAGAGAGAGCAAGAGAGA